AGTTTCCTGGGACAGGGCGGGCAGCGAGAGGGAGAAAGGAACTTCTGGACGTGATGGAAATGTTCTGTCTTGATCTGACTGAGGGGCGCATACATTTGTCTAAAACCCACTGATCTCATGACTTTAAATGAATGCATTTTATTGCATGAAAGTATAACTCAATATAGTTGATTTTTGAAACGTCAAGATCAAGACAGACGAAATCCTAAAGAAATTCAGCTTAAAGGAGACTAAAGAGACATCACAACTAAATGTACATGATCCTGAACAAGGAGGAAATACTAGTATAAATGGCATTCTACAGACAGTTGAGAAAATTTGAATACGGGCTATAGATGAAAGCATAGTAGGATCAATGCTGAATTTCCTGATTTTGACAATTGTACCATGGTTACACAAGGCAAAGTCCTTGTTCTGCTGAAATATTTAGACAAAGGGACATAATGTCCTGAATTTATCATCAAATGAATTGGCAAGGAGAGAGAGAAAGAGAACTATAAAGTGAAGACAGAGTAAGACATAAACAAATGGTAACTACGGGTTAAGGTTATACAAAGTTCCTTGTACTATCGCTTCAATTATTTTGAAATTACTATCGCTTCAATTAGTTTGAAATTACAGCAGAACTAGTTTTTTAATGAGAAGGAAGCATCTAGCTGGGGAGGGAGGGAAGGTCACTGTTTTTTAGTTATGAACTGTGATCTCTCAAAGCCAGAAGCTATTGACATGATTCATCCCACTGATAAAGAAAAGACCCAGGCTTTTTATCTGAGTTCTCTAATTGGTTCTGTGAGTGTCTCGGGGAAAGGGAAAGTAATTCCTTGAGGCTATTAAAGAGACGGGCAACTGCTCTGCAAAGACAAAACGACTCTCTCTTCCCCAAGAAGACAGATGGTATCTGATGCCTTAAATCATAGTCCAAAAGGGCATTTTCTTCCTCTCTCAGCTCATCTCTTTTTCCACAGTGGACTAAGTCCTACAGTCAAAAATATTAATTTGTAAGTAACCACAAACTATTACAAGCAATAAACAACAGTTTTCAAAAATGACAAAATTCCATTTCACCTTTTCTTCTTAGTGTTTATTGAAGCAATCAATTCTCTTCTCACAGATACAATGGTAGATTTCCGAGCACACAATAGACGGTGCTCTTGTTCGGGTCAAAAATACACACTGTCCTATCCCAGAAGGAATATTCATTACTTTCAAATTACTGTAAAAGAGAAAACAGACATGGTCAACTGTTTAATTCTGAACCTTATAATAACGTAAACCATATTTTTTAAGTCTGTTGCCTAAAGACCTGAAATATGGAAATATTAACCATAACCTCATCACTGAAAGAATTTCTTCTGCTCTTAGCCCATTAAACAGAACAACATCTTCTTGATCACACCCATAATCTCCCATTTCGTTCCACACTGGGAATTTTTGATCAGAAGGCAACATTGCTATGCTGGCATCACAATATAGCAACCTGCTTTCTTATATTAACTATTTCAATAAAAGTGAGAGATTTAAAAGGAGGAACTGAATTTTTGTGACAAGATAGTAAGGTCTTGTGTGCATAAACTTTAAGGAGAAAAAAGAAGTGGAATACAGTCAGAGATGAAGTTGTTTAATTGATGTTTTTATGTGTTTTATTTCTTTTCCTTCCCTATCCCATAGCTAACGGTTATTAACTGAAACATGAAAATTCATTGAAAAATATCTAAAGCAGGACCTTTATTTCAGCAAAGCAGTGGGTTAGGTGAGAACTATCTTCCTATTGAAAACACTTTAAAATGCTGAATAAAGACAAATTTTACACCCTCTCGAATAAATTGATAAGAACTGATAAGAAGCAAATTCATATTCAAGCTGAGGGTTAAGTAAAGGTGGGAACCTCGAAGGGGAAGTGAAACACTGAAGCCACTTTTTCCCTTAATTGATGTAGTCGGCTAAAGAATGACTTCCACCCGAGATGGGCATTCTAAATAGAAAACAAGCTACAGAGAGTTGAGACCCCAAAGGGATATATCTTCAGTCTAAATCGCCCTAGAACAGTCTTGAACCTTGGATTTAAGCAGAAGAAAAAAAGAATAATCTCACCTAACAATACAAAATCACAAACCATCCCTCATGTAATTTGCATCTGCTGCATTACTTAAGAATACCCAAATTTGCTACAGGGAAAAAGAGAAGCAAGCAGTTAAGGAAGATATATGAAACTAAGTAGCTTGTGAGGCACAGGCAGAAAGTACAAGATGTGTTAAGTACAGGTAAGTTAGTAACCTATGGCACATGTTAGGTACAGAGACAGCAAACAGGGCACACGTGTGCTGAACACAGAAAAGGAAGAACCAAATAAATACCATACACCATGTGTAACACACACGATGCTCATAGACAGTCAATGTTCATAAGGTCTCAAGTTCGCCACCCACTGGTGACACTCATTCTGGCCTTCTGCCTAAGGAACTCAAAATAAAATCCACAGCTGCTCATCAGGTTAACCGGAGAGCTGCAGTTCTGAGCAGGCTTACATGCTCCTGTATCCGCCCAATAGAGATAATGTGTGCACTGGCCACAAGAACCTTCTGTCTGTTGGGCCTCCTTACTTAAACCTCAAGTGTGGTCCTGGAAACCTTGCACCATCGTCAGGGAAGGGTGATGCAGCAGAGCCAGGCCATTTGAGGAGTGGATAACTCAGGATTCAAGGGGTCCTTCCAACTACTGGGCCCTCATCCTAAGTGTGACAACCTACTATCCCATTCCATCCAAGTGTGAGAAGCTACCCCATTTCTTTCCCCTTGCATAGTGCTAAGTGTCTTAAATTGATTTAATTAACTGCATGATGTGAGCATCTTATTTTGGTCCATTTGAGCCTTTCTGTTTTGTGACCCCTGAGGTTGTTTGCCTGAAAGTGTATTCACAGGCTTCCAGGACATTTAGGTGATTTCCTCCACACATCTCTTATAGGTTTGCAATCCAGAACAATACTACCTGCGGGGCCCAGATTTAGAATAAAAATAGCTCAGATTCACAGTGCCCCAAGGCAGCCAACAAAAGCAAATTCCTTCTTGAGGAAGCCACTTTCATCTCAGTCCTCGAAGAATTTCCTCAGCAGCTCAAAAGGAAAACAGAAATCACTACACACTAAAAATGAAAATGGCACCATGAACAAAAGTCAGTAGAAATAATAGGTTAGACTCACAAAACTTCAAATATTAAAATTCTCATGTACCAAATGTAAAATGAGTATGTTTAGTATCTTTCAAGAAATAAAAGCAAGCTTGAAAATGTAAGTAACTAGAGAGATTTGAAAATGTAAGAGAATTTCTAGAAATAAAAAATGTAACAGTTAAGATTGTTCAAAAATCAAACAGATTTAGCAGATTATAACTAAATGTAAACCCAAGAATTTACAAAATGCTGCGCTTAATAGAAGTACAATGAGGGGAATGTGTGTGTGCATGTGTATGCTTGTACTTACATTTATTTACATTTATAAATAATATAAACTAATAATATAAAACATTTTCAAATGAATTTTGGGGGATATTCAAAATACTCATTTGTGGTTGTGGGAGGAATCACTATGGCTAAGTCAGAATGGTCCAATCACTTCACATCACCGTCCTTAATGGTTTTGTTTTGTGTACATTGTAACACATATTTCCGAGCATGTGTTTAACATCATAATTTGATTATTATTACTAACTCTGTATGACACTTGCCTTCCTTTTTAACTATACTTCCCAAAACACTTTCTTAATCATTCGCCTTATTCTTACCAAAAATCTCTACTAGAAAATTGTAGATTATAGATAATCCATCCAACCTGGCACCAGTATTAGACTTTGAATGCATCCCAGAAACTTACAATCCACATGTGTCACCGTCAATCCATTTCCATTTACTTTCCTCTTTATTAAATGATGCTCCAATCCAGTAGGAATTTTGAGACATCTGAGATTGAAGGAAGGTCTGTAAAAGAAACAAAACATATGAGTGACTAAATTCCCACCTGCTGGATGAATGACAATAAGGACAGGTAAAAGACTGGGCTGTTCCCACAACCAGCAGTCTGCTATTTTCTGCATACCTCATCCTTTGGCCCTCCTTCCTGAAAAACCCCCTCTGTCTTCTCATCTTTCAGTCATTTTCCTCTAGTAGATTATTTATTTATGTAAAAACTGGCTGCCAGTCTCATAAATTATTTAAAATGTAGAAAATTTCAAAATCTAAATACCTAACAATAGGAGATTTGTTCAATAATTTTATGAAACCAGTCAAAATCATGCTTCAGAAAAATTTAAGGATAAAGAAAAATAGTCATTACATATCCTTAAGGGAAAAAAAGAATCTTCAGAACAAATTTATTAAAATAACAAGTGTGGGAGAAGGGTGCGTTGGAAACGTCAGCTTTATAAGAGAAAGGCTTGCTACAGTTCACCGGAAGAGGAAAAAGGAAAAGGGGAAGCACTTAGAAAGATTCACTATGTCTGAAAACGTAGTATGTCAAAGTGACATAGTACATAGTGTTGATTATATTTCTGAATATATTTTTAAATACAGGTTTAAATTTAACTGTGTTTTACTGCAACAAACAAAAAATTATGTTATTACTTGGTTTATAAATTCTTTCACATTATGCTTTAAAACATCTTTCAGATTTGTATATAAATTTTGTATTTTTTTTTCTAAATGATAGAGGTTTCAGGTAGATTGTTGCATACATTTCTTTGTAGAAACACGTGTGTGTGAGGATAGTTCTTATTAGTAATAAATTTAAAAGATGATTTTGATATTGTCACTGTATTTTCTCTTTTTACAATTCTTCCTGAGAGAGATACATCTTGATATAATACATACAAGTATCAATTCAAGTAAATGTTACCACCGATGCAGTGAAAATCGTCATGAAGCTAATTTGTAACACTGTTATCACCTTTATGATCCTCATTATTATCTACCTTTTGCAGATGGGGGAAAAAAAAGGCCTAGAGAGGGTAAGTAATTTACCAAAGGCCACCCATCTAGTAAGTGGCAGAACTGGATGAGCCCAGGCGGTCTGGCTCCTAACAGTAACTACTAGACGGTGCTGCCTCTGGGTTCTTGGTTGCCACCTTACAGGGAAGAATACCGGCTGGCTCCAGCCTGCGGGCGACCAAAGGCTGAAGTGCTTCATCAAAGGAAAGGCAGTCTTCGCTGTGAGGGGTTCTCCGGCAGAGTCCTAAGAAAAGGAGATCAAGTCCCAAACTGCACCTTCAAGGGGGTTTCCATTTTGGAAATAATAATGGTCACCATGATACATAACATGCATTGAATGCTTTGTAAGCAGCGAGATCACATGCCTATTAGCAGGCAGGGTCTCCTGGGAGACTCTTAACTGTACGATTTTTGTTCACTCAACAGATAGAACACAAAGAATAATTGAAGGTTCCTCTATCTAAACTCCTCCATGTTCTCAGTGTTTTGGGTCCAAGGGTGAGAGACAGAGGCCAAGAGAATAAAAGCACATGTAACAAACAGTCCATGATACCATTTCTTCTGCGTAGTCTATCTTCAAAAGAGAAGAACTGTAACTTTGGCAAATCTGTTTACATCCCTTCCAGTCTTCAGTTTCAATGGTAAAGTAGTAACACTTTATTCCCCAACAGCACCAGTCACCTTTCTTGAGTTTGCCTACAATATATAAGGTGAAACATTAAACTTCTTTTCATCCAGTATTCTGTTAAGCAGACTAAGGTATTTATCAGCTCTCCATGAATAAATAAAAATCTTAATAGCTACCAATAATGATAATGTGATGTTCATAAAAAGTCTGAAACGCCAAGAGATATCTGCACTCCCATATTCACTGCAGCACCGTTCACAATAGCCAAGAAATGGAAACGACCCACACGTCCGTCGATGAATGAAAAAAATGTGGGATAGTCACACAATGAATATTATTCAGCCTTAAGAAGGAAATCTTGCCACATGTAACAGCATGGATCAAACCTGAGGATATCACACTAAGTGAAATAAGCCAATGACAAAGGACAAACACTGCATGATTCCACTTATGTAAGATATGAAGAGTAATCAGACTCAGAGAAACAGAAAGTAGAAAGGTAGTTGCTGGGTAGGGTAAATGAGTTGTTATTCAATGGGTAGACAGTTTCAGTTATGCGAGGTAAATAAATTCTAGACATCTGCTGTACAACGTAGAGCCGACAGTTAACGATACTGAATTGGGCACTTAAAAACTGGTAAAAGCATACACCTCGTGTTAAGTGTTCTTACCACAAAGAAGAAGGGACTTAAGAAAACTTCTGGAGGTGATGGGTATGTCTATTGCCCTAATTGTGGATGGTTTTACAGACACATCCATATGCCCAAACTCGTCAGATTGTATGTATTAAATATGTGCAGCTTTTGCATATCAATAGTACCTCAATAAAGCTGTTTTTAAAATAATAAAAGAAAATTAATTTTTAAAAGATCCTGGAATGCCTTCTAAATAAAAGAAACATTCTTCTGTGGAATTCTTTTTTTTCCTCAAACATTTTATAATATACCAAATCAAAATATTACTGATCCTTTAATTATAGACAGTACATTTCTACTACCTACCATACTTAAATCAGATTAAATACGTAAGACCGCTCTGTAAACTCTAAACCCTAAGCAAACATTTAGTAGTTGTTGATTAACTAGGCTGATTCATTCCATCGTTATGCATGATAACAGGGTTCATTGCATTAGATTTAATATTCTTATCTCCTGGGTGTCTTTAATGCTATCATCACACAGAGCTGCACAATCGTCAGCCCTACGGCACCTTGCAGGTGTACTGCAGGGAGTATATACTGATCACAAATAGACCAAAATATCTGAAGTCAGTGCAGAATGGAAACACACACAGACAATTATCTTCACAACAGCATCCAAATAAAAGGCGTTGCGCTCACTGTAGCCTAAGTCTATTTTTACTGACATTCTCCGTATTTCATGCCAGCAGCAAAGCTGGAGAGTCTCATTTGCCCACAGGTGCAAAATGAACCAAATTTTCCAGGGCGCTGACCTACTGTTTCATCTTCTGGGAGCAGTAGGAAAGCAAGAGCTGCCGCCGACTTTGGGGAAACGCAGGGCTCTACTGCTGCAAACGTGGCTCCTGGGGTCTCAATCCCGTATTTGAAACAAGCAAACCCAAATACCCACGTGACATCCAAGGGGCACAAACTAACAGTTGTCCAGCAGAGCTGGATCACTACCGTGTAACGTAAGCCTGTTTCTCAGGCATCAAAGCTTTTGAGGGGGGGAAGAAGGAATGAAAAATTATGTGATCTTTGATTCAAGATTTCCTCCATACCTGTATTTTGCAAAGACTTTGAAAAGATCTCCTTTTTCCTACAGCATTCCATCTTTTCTGTAGAGTTAGCCCAAAGAGTTTTCCTATCGAGTTTCATTTTAAGAATGCCACATTCTGAAGTCATATTTGTCAGAAGTTGCCTAACTGAGTAGCTGTCATTTTGCAGAATGTCGTACTTTTGACTGAGGTTTCGTAGAATTTCCTCCTGGTGATGCTTTTCTTGAATATACTGAAAAACTAAAATTAACAGCAGAGATGTAATTTTTAAAGTCCTCATAATGCTTCATTGTTGAAATTTAGGACAAGAGGAAAAAGGTATCTCTTTGACGACCAACTCATTTCATTAACTTTAATTAGTAATTTGACATTTAGAAAGTAACACCTCAACAAAGTGACCATAAAAATTGAAACATCAGATTCCTCACTATTAGCCACCTAAGTGTAGAATCAATAAAATATGATTCCTGAATAAAATTGTGACAGTAACATCTTATCATTCAGTTCAGTTTCTTAGTAACAGTGAGTCATTTACACATTGATACCAAAGTAAAAATCAGTCAGCATTCAGCCACACATCTACCGAGTAGGAAAATCTGCACTAAGAAACATGAAGAAACAGCACCATCATCGCTGGAGTAGATGGAATACACACAGAAGAAAAGAGAAGAAGACTCAATTTTGTAATTTTATCTGAGCATAACATGTTAGTAATGTTCCCTAAACATGTCAAGGAATGCAAATAAAAGATGAAGGTTGAAGTCAAGATCATCTAACATCCATGAGGAGAACCACTCTGTTTACTAAACCATTTCCTCACTATATACTTAGAAAAAAATCAAGAGAAAGTCTTAATTTCTCTTGAAGCGTTGTTTCTCAAAGAATGTGCACCTGAGATTTACAGTGATCTAAACTGACAAAGCGGAATATTATAGTCGTTCCCCCTTATCTGTGGTTTGACTTTCTGTGGTTTCAGTTACCATGTCAACCACAGTCAGAAAATATTAAGTGGAAAATACCAGAAGTAAACAATTCATAAGCTTTAAATTGCATGCCATTCTGAGTATTGTGGAGAAATCCCACACCATCCCGCTTGTCCTCCCCTGGACGTGATCATTCCTTTGCTGAGTGTATCCCACCCGCCTGGGTTAGTCCCTTAGCCGGTATCAGGTGGCTGTCGAGGTACACAGTGCGTGTATTCATCCACCCCTTATTTCACTTAATAATGGTCCCAACGCACAAGAGTAGTGATGCTGGCATCTGGCGTAGTCTCTTATTGTGCCTAGATTATACATTAAACTTTAAAAACATAATATATACAGGATTCAGTGCTATCTGCTATTTCAGGCACCCACTGGGGGTCCTGGAAGCACCCCTGTGGAAAAAGGGAGACTGCTGTACTAAGTCCTTGTCAGAAGGAATGTTACCTTGTCTCATACAGAATGAGACAGCTCATTACGGCTTCAGAGACATTGGAACAGGTAAATAAAATGAAAATGACACTGTGATTACGTCTGGGGAAAATATCTAAGAAAGAACCACCTGGAACATTCTGTGATCACGGCCAGGGAAAAACTGATGGAGCATGGCCAACATCTGCACAATTAGTGGTTACGTCTGATACTCAGACTCAAAGGGTGTACTTCAATTACTCACTCTTTGTCCCCAACACTATGATTGCCATCAGCAAAAACAGACAGAAGATCCCCAGAATCACTGCAATGCGAGGCCAGCACACCGAAGACTCTTCAAATAAAGAAGGAAGAAAATGATCACTAGGGATACTGCCTGGCCCTCTACTAACCTTAACCTGGACACCATCTGAAATACAATCTTCTGTAAACATTTTACAAAATATATCATACAAAGTGTTCTAATTTTCATTCTAGTAATTACAGTTTTCTAGTTTCAACTTCTGACCGATATTCACTAGTTTTAGAAACCCTACACCCAAGAACACTCCTGTGGGATTTTAAAAATGCATCCTTTTCAAAAGCACCAATGAACACAATACACACTGACGAGCATCCACGTCGACCTCCGTGCTCCTTGCTGTGGTCACAACTGATCACGAAGAGAAAGGAAAAGGCAGTCAATATTCTTGAGAAACTGGTAGCCAATTGTGGATACTGTGAAGCTGCAAATGTGACTGGGGCACATTCTTAAAGAACTTCCTAGAAATCAACTTTTTCCTCTTTTTCATCAATTTTTTTTCCTCTAGTAATGCTAGATTTATCCTCCTACTTTTGAGGTCCTCAGTATCCGCAAGTTACATCTCTGACTGACACTACATTAGAACAGTAAAAACTATTCTCAATTTAGAGTTTGCTGCAATATTTGAGGTAGAGAGAGAGAGAAAATGGAAAAATCTCTCCCCTTTTGATCTGAACATTTTTGCTTCTTCATTGCCATGAAGTTTTGGTAAATATTTAAGACATCTAAAACAGCTTTTGTCTGAATAAAGGCAGTGTTCCTAATGCTTATTTTTCATTTCTTAAATCTTCTGTAAGACTTTTACTTCTCTAGGAAATGCAATGTTTTCTTGAGACTCTAGTCTGTCCTTTACTTTTAAAGGCCTCATGAATTTTTCTAGACCAAATTTGAATGAAAACATTCTATCACCTTCTCAAATTTAAAAAAAAATTCATTAATTTCTCCATTCTCACAAATATTTTTTTAAAAGACCATTAAATACCACTATGGTTTAGTCTGACCAGCTGAGGACCTGAAGAACAGGTAGGAACTTTTCTCAAACATCAATAGTCTGACAAACCATGAGAGGCAGGTGAATTTAGATGCTTAAAACGTGTACCTTTTTCATCAGTCTTGCGAGCGATTTCAGTACCACGAGGCCTTAATCTATTTTGTGACTGTGAAGGCGGCTGAAGTATTCTCACGGTGGAGTAAGTCACTTCCTGATCGCTCATCTCTAGAGCTAAAAAGCAATGTATGCTTTGCATTAAAATTTTGCAACAAAATGATCTGTCCAAAAAAAAGAAATTAAAATGTCAGTCTACGGAAACATACCAGGATTAAGGCAGATGTGTGTATGTCTGTGTGTGGATGTGGATGTGTGTTTATTAACTCCTTCAAGTGCCTAAAGTACATAGACTGAGCCTGATCTATATAAGACATGAAAAACTTTCAATATTTCTGTGAAAGTCATTTACATTCCTAGTAATTATGGCCATGACTATTAGAAAATATGGAAAGAATATTTTTAAAAATCAACCAATAGATTAAGTAGGCTAGGTCCTATGCAGCTGAGCTCAAAATGTTCAACATATGCATAAAATGTTAGGCAAAGTGGTACCATTCCAAATTACGGAGACACTTTTAAAACTTTTATGTTTTTAAGATTCTGAAAAAATTTAATTACCTTGGTTTAAAACAAATATATATGTATATATATATATATTTTTTCAGATCTACATATAAATAGTAAAAAGTTCTTACAAGGGTTAGAATAGTAATTCAATGTCAGTTTGAGATCATTATCTCTTGGCCCACATAGATAAATACACTGTGTAGTTCTTTTCAACTATAACACGACGCTACCACATTGTTTCCCAAAGTATATCCCATACACCATCTACAAAAGAATTACTGAGGGTTAACACTGCAAACTGGTTATCATTCTAGATTCCAGTGCCTCATGGGTGATGTGCTGAATAAACATCCCTTAGGTTAGACCCCAGACACCTATATTTTTAATCCTAAATGACTCCATATATATTACAATTTAAGAAATAATCTTCCAGTTGCCAGAGAAGCCAACTTTATTTTGTGAAAATAAAATTTGTCAATAGGCAGTCTTTAGTTAATATGCATAAAGGATTCAATCTATTAATAGACAGCAATATAGAAAGAAATTATTAAATAGTAGATATTTAAAATTTACCTTGCTTCTTATATTAATCAGCTTGAAAAGATGATATCCAAGAAGCACGAAATACAGAAAATAAATTGCACATGTAACTATAGTCTTCAAAAAAATTTTTTTTAATTTCTGGAAGTTTCTAGACTTGATAATTCACATTATTCCTAATTTCCTAAGGAAAATAAGCTGTTACTATAGAACGCTTTAAGACTGATAAGATAATATACAAATCATTAGACTCAAATAAAAAGTAATAACCCAGACCTCTTCTTTGATAACTCAAAGCAAAAATCACAGCATATTTTAAAAAAGAAAACTTTCCGTGAATGCTGAACTAGTTTTCACATCCCTTGGAGTTAAGGCAGTTCTAACCCAATTAACAAAGAATGCTCTTCTCCCCACCCCATATTCATGCCAAGTCATTTATAATGAATTGCTATATTCCTAGAATCTTTTTCCCCCTAGAATCTTTTCTTTGTAAGTAGGATTAATAGGACACTCGGTATAAAGATCTGAGGGAGCAAAAGCAGATGTTACCTGTGTCTGTGCCGGGCAGTGATGCAGGTGGAGAAACCTGACCCAAAAATGAGTAGAGAGAAGTTGGCCTTTCCAATCCCAGATCGCTTGGGTGTGTGAGGGGCTCTGAGACAGAAGGCAGAAATGAACAGTGTCTGAATGATACTCCAACTCAAAATCTTCTGCCCCTCCTCTTGACCAAAGTGATGAAAGGAAATTATGTGATAAAAGCTGGTGCTGACGGGAAAGGAAGGATGGTCATGAGCTCTATCTCCCTCATTTCAACTAACCAGCCCCTGCGGTGAAGAAAGCATTCAGAATCTACATCTGAGGACTGAGAAGATAAATGAACACAGCTTTGGCGAAAAGAAGTAAGATCTTTAACAAAAACTAGCATACTTAAAAGAAACTACTAGTAAAAACAAACAATTAAAATGTATACGCTTAAATATATAGACATATACACAAGAAATATTATGACTAAATTCTTTACCTCAAAATAGCCTGTCAGAAACTTTCTCGTATATATCGCTATTGGGAAAAAAATTTTTTTCCATTTGTGTTTATTGCAGATAAATGTATTTTAGAATTTATTTTGAAACATACGTTAAGATGGTTCCACTATAAAATTTTGGTATATATTCTTCTAGCTTTTTATCTGTATGTTTACTATCAAAATTCATTCTGTATACAACGCTTTTGATCTACTATTTTCTAATAAATGTTTTCATTTAAAATGTTACTTTAAAAAGCCATATATAGTTATTACCCACATGGGTTATACCATAATTTATTTAGGCAATCCCCTACTGTTGGACATTTAGGCTCTTTCTAATTTTTTACAAATATAAAAAATATTTGGCCTGTACTTTTGAGTATTTCCTTAGGAAAACTGTTTAAATAAGAAATTATTGGTCCAGGGTATATACATTAAAGACTTTGATACATATTACCAAACACTCTCCAGAAAAGTTGTTCTTGTTTATACAGCACTAGTTGAGCAGGAAAATGTTCACATTTGATTATTTTTCAAGAAGAGAAACCAGTGAATGCTTCCTCTACTTGAGTTTTGTCCACGAATCTTTACTTCATGAAGACCTATATCCCTCCAATTAAAAGAAACTCGTTTCGCTAAGTCTGTTTCTATGAGCCAGACCCTGCCAGAACACCCCCAGATCTCACACTGAGGTTCACGTTCATCTGATATAGGCCTTGCCAGTCTTCAGGCGCACAGTTCTATGAGACCAATTTCACTGCTCTTCAAATCAGGCGATCATGGTTAACATGGAGTGTCGGGGAAGAGGAGTGAGGTAGGGAACACAAGGGGAAGTTGATTACACGGAGAAAAATGAACCCTATTTTACCAGCCTCTCGCCAAATTCCTTGCTTGTTCTCTCCGTCCCTTACCAACCTCTACCCTCAACAAAGCCATCATCCTGCAGAAGGCGTCCCCGCTCTTCACCTCCTACCCCTCCTCCTGACTACTTTACAAACGCAGTCTACTCAATGTTCTGACCACCCGGACCCCTCTAGGCTGTGCTGTTGTTTGGCCCCCCAGCTGCCCTACGTCTGTCCCCCAATGCAATCCTTAATCTCTGAGTCAACACCGAGTCTGCCACTTGTCATGGGGCACAGCCAGTCAGCTGAATGACCTCCCGGGCACTGACTGAATTCAATTGTATGAGCAAAGTTGCATGGGTGGAGTCTGGATATTTCAGGAATATTTGCTGCTGGACATTTTCTTCTCTCTTTACCCTCATCGTGGATTGCCTCTGTCAATCTCAAAACAGAGAGAGATTGCTAGCACTCAATCCCAATGCCAGGTATGAAGGCATGAATGAATGAATGAGTGGAGTTCTGCTGAGAGGGAATGGAGCAGTAGTGAATGATCTCGAGAGGTGGCAGAGAGATGCCATCGTTTGTTGGAGGACTCCTGAGTGTACAATCATACTGAAACCTCCCAACGCTGACAGCTATCTACTATCGTTCTCATCTGACAAATGAAAACACTGATGTTAAGAGGTTAACTGACTCACCAAAGGACACCTTATTGCTCATCCTTGACCCATGTTTAAAATCAAGCCTGACTGAATACACTGAGCACAGATGGACTTTGGATCTGAATTTTTAAGAAACCTCTTGCCACCAAGCCCCAGTTCTAGAACCAGGCAGATCTGGCTTGAAATACCAGCCCTCACTTCTGTGTGTGACTTAGGCAAGTCACTTCACTTCTCTGACAGTAAAATAGTGATATATGCCTCCCGAGATTATAGGGTCTACAAAGTGCTAACCAGACCTGGCAACTACAGAACGGGCACGGATTAAACATTAAATATCACCATTTGAGGTCCAACATTCAAATCCTTTCTAGCTGTAAAAATTTGAACACATCACTCCAAATCTTCAAGCCTCAGTTTCCTTACATGTTCCTCACTTCATAGACCTGGAAGAATTCAATTAGATTGGCACTGGGATATCTCAGACTTCAAAAAGAAGGAAATGTCATTTTTTCCCTCTCTCCAAGGGTTCTATAAATAGTGGAAGAGTCAGGACTGTGATCCAGAAATGCACTGCACTAAGTTCTCTGTCTTCACATGTCAGGTTTGGGGTGCAGATGCTTGGAAGAAAGGGGGTGTGGGGGGGGTTGGTGGGGGGGAGGGGAACAACACAATTTGGGAGCTGGGAAACATGTGGCAACATACCGCTACCTCTGTAGAAAAAAACATCCTGTAACCTCAGATCTGGCTATTTTATATCTTACTGATCCATAGACACTGGTGATGTTGAACCGTTTTGGGTGATTTTACATCCTTAGAGCTGGTGAGGTGGGTAGCTCTCCTGATGGAAGAACATGTGCAGAACACTTTTTCACACTTACACAGTCGTGCTTCCTCTACATAAACTCCATACTGTGTGTACCACGTCCATCCCGTTCATCGGTGTAACTTCAACACATAGAGGAGATACGATGCCTACATGGAAAGTTAAGAGGAACTGACTACAAAATACAGGTTTTTCATAATTTTTCATAGTTTTGTAGGAAGAATGAGATTAGTAATTGGAAAGTCACATTGTGTAGCTGTTCCCTCAAAGCTCTAGTTTCTTTTTATTACTAAGCTCTAATTTCTGGAAAAGGCAAATTCCTTCTAAAATAAGACACCCAGCATCAGAAGGTAACAGCAGTAACTTCAGACAGGACTAATTAAACTCCCAGCATTGCCCTTTGATCAAAGAGGCACAAAATCGGAGGCACTAAACTTCATCTATTGCAACCCCTAGTTAAAAACAGAAAGATGAAAACTCTGAGGGATGTTCTGAATGTTCTTGTACATTGTGTTCCAAATTCACTTTTGTGCAAAAACACACATAACATGTACACCACATGGACACACATGGCATTCACTTATTTACTTCTTGGCTGCTTTGCTATAAATATAAAGCCTTTCTTCATTTAGAAAACCACAGGTTTGACCCATCCCTTCCTGACAACAGTGACTGTCAGCTAGGAGCTTAGCACACAGCTTCTGGTCACACCTTCAGACTTTCCAGCCACACCTTCAAACCTCAATGGCTTATCATTTCACAGCAGCAAGCTGGTCTTCCTGACCCAGCCGGAAGTGAGGGCTTCAGGGACAACCACCAGCTCCCAGGGAGATGGTGTGTGCATCGCTCTCTTGGGAGGACTAACCTCACCTGGCCAGGTTCCCACTTCCATGGTTATTTGTCCAAATGTCTAACCTTTATGCCACTGAGTGATATTAAATTTCCTGGCTCTTACAGTAAAAACTCTAAAGACCTTTTGTTTGAAGTTTCCTGTTTCCCTAATTAGCTACTTCATTTGTCCTTCTTATCTTTACAATAAAATCTACTCTAATGCTCTAGAGTTAAAATCCTCTATCTTGTCCCAACTGGCCTCTGGCAGTCAAATAGTCACCTTTCATAGAACTTTTAATTATATCACGGTTTCATCCTGCACATCCATCAAGGTCTACAGCTTGAACAGAAATGCTCATTTTCACATAAAAGACCTGACGGTGATGACAGCACAGTAGTGCACAACGGAGATCAGGAGATTGGATGACTTTTCAAGGCAAACCAGAAGGGGCTGGCCACACGTTTCAATGCAGTGTAAAGGACCAGAAGGCACTCTATGGTCAACAAGCTGCCAAGCCAGGCTCTGGAGCTATGCTGTCCAGAAGGCAGCCACAAACCTCGCCTGGCCATCTAAGCCTAACAAAAATCAAGTAACACTACAAAACGTTAACCTATCGGCACCAGTTACACCAGGCATTCCGCCTGTAAGTGAAAAATCCACAACAGGACATCATTTACTGCAAGACTCATTATTGCAAAAGGAAAATACTACAGAATTTAGATTGGCATGCAGGTATTTATTTTACAATTCTTTCAACAGTTTTTTGTGTTTGAAATTTTTCATAATAAAATGTTGGGAAAATATTATTTTTCATTAAATAGGACTATAAATTCAGCTAAATTAACCACATCTCAAGTACTCAGAAGCCACATGTAGTAGCTAGTAGCTACCCCACTGGACTGCAGACACAGCACATTTCGATTATCTCACAGTTTACGGTACAAAGCTGCTCTAGTCTAGCTGCTCAGACCCCTGGCAAGCCTCCAGTCACTAATCCTCCCACGCTAAGGCCCTGAGTTAGGTGGATGATGACTAGCAAGATGCGTATTTTTAAAGAGTGAGGGTTCAGATGGAAAAGTAACAGAATACCAGGGCATGGTTAGCAACAAAAGAATAAAAGACCAAGTCTGTCAGAAAGAGGTTGAAGGAACTGGAAATTTGAGTGGGACCTGTGTTCATTAGGAGTTAGGATATAAATACACACACACGTGTGTGTGTGTTTAAGTCTAACCTTTAATTTTTAGAGCGGAGAATTCATTTATTTCCCACAAATACACAACACACACACATACACACACACACATATATAGTGAAACAGAAAATAAGGACATAATAGAAGATGTGCCTAACGGGACACTGACTTCACCTTTGCCACCTTGAGGAAATCACTGCTTATACCAAAACATTTCAGTGTGAATAACCGGAGAGGTTTGTGATAAATGTAAAAAATTCAAAACCTTCTGTAAACTATTTCTATAAGCACCAAAAAATTAAATCCCATCAGGTGTGGTAGAAAAAAGGGAAGACCTACAATTACCTTTAAACAGGTGGGGATCTGGCTCCGTGGTTCTACCTGAAAGAACCTCTGTCAGAGGCCGCACCGACTACAACAACTGTTATTGTCTTTAAAGTGAAGCAGAGATACATCCTCCTGGAAAAAAAAAAAAGCACTGTCCATGCAGGCTTTGATATGTTTTATTGGAGCAAAATTTCAATACAAGGTGACTTTTATTTACAGAATTTACTGTGTGTGGGGACTGTCTGACCCATTTGGACCCAGGTGAAGACAACCATTAAGCCTGCTTATGCAGTTTCTTATTTTCAGTTTGCGTATTAAAAAAAGTTCACTTCATATTCATAAAAACCCCAATATTATAAATGACAAACCCTCCCTCACCCATCCCTTAATTAAATATAAAAACAGCTTCCAAAAAACATACAATTTAGATTGGTTTAATCTTGAAATGTAATCCAATAAGACTAAAAACTAAACATTTCAGGTCCTGCACCAAATAGTAAAATACTCGAAGGCCTTCAGGATCCCTAAAATTTAAAAAGACAGAAATTACTTTTTGGTTCCTAGAATGAAACAACATAGTAATATAAATTAATCCCTAACACAACACAAAAACCAAAAAGCTAAATCATTAAGTTGAAGGAATTCAGGAGAGAGGATCTGCTGATAACTAAAATGCACACACTAAACAATTCCCATCCCTAGCTTTTCTATGAAAAAAAAAAAACCCTAAATTTTTTCATCAGTATTCATTTCACATTTAAAGTGTTTATTTCCTGCATAAAAATGTTATCATTACAAAAGTGTATAAAGCAAATAAAATTATAAAGATAGAAAAAAACCTCAATACTATATAATGAAATAACTAATTATTTTAGTATTTCTCTAATTTTTAAAAAATTATTAAAATCATTCTCTGTGGCCATTTTAAACACTACTTTTTCCACTACATTAAAAAAATTCACAAATAAATTTTAATTAATTTAACAATTCTCTTCTTGTTAGATATTTGGATTTTTTTCCAATTATAAATAAGGTTTCAATGACCAGCTTTATCAATAATAAAACTTTTTCATTATTTCAGAATATTCCCCCAGAACACACTGACACTCAGAAATGAAATTAGCTGGAAAAGATGAATGAAAAGTATTAACAGCTTTTCATGCAAATTATCAAAATCGCTTCCCAAAAATCACTGTATCAATTTACAATTCCAGTAGGGTATGAATGCCACAGCCTCACGATCTATGGGTAAACAGATGTTATCGCATAAAAGTATTTGGTCACTCTTTACGGACACAGCCTTTTGGATCCAATAGTTATTATGCATTCTTTCCTTTCTCCGTTCCTCTAGTAAACATGTATAAACCATGTATTGTGTGCCAGCATTGGGCTAACTTTGGAGATATAGCAAGGTTCTCATGGAGCTTACGTTGAAACCAGTAAACAAGTAAGTTATTCCAATTTAAGGTGAGAGGAAAAAGACACTACAGGAACATTTTGAGGGAAAAGAGTGGAAAGAAATAATTGGAGGCAGAGGGATTTTTCAGACAACGGTACGTGGCACAGAGACACAGAACCTGGGAGGACACAGCAGCTAAAGCCTTACCCAAGCTATACTGGGTTTTTTCCATTTTTTTCAAGTATTAAACCCAAGGTGGAGAATGATGTGATACACATCTAATAAGGGTGATAAATCCAATACGGATTTCTTTTAAATTTTGTCACACTGTGTGAAGAGGAAGATTTTTTTCCCAATCAGTAAAATATACTACTAACTTCTTTGATAACAAATCTTCACTAATATAAAAATCAGGATTACACATACATAAATAAACTGATATGGGATGCCATTAAAAAATTTTACCAAACTGGCTATAGTTCTAGTATGAGCCTCTCTAATAAATTATGCCAATTCAGTCAAAATACTTTAATATACATACTCACTTTGACTGATTAACATCAATAAGAGAACCAATTTTTGATGTAGTAAAAGAAATGTGTTCATCTCCAATTACAATTTCAAGCTCCTGAAAAAAATAAACAGAAATGTAGTTAATACAAAAACCCATCCCAGAGATGTCTATATTCTTGCTACCAAGAGGTCTCACTTTTAGCTGCAAGTTTTCTAGCTGTCACAGGGTAGGAGAAAAAAAAGAAAGAAAGAAAGAAACTTGATCTATTAGATATAAACTTTGGCTGTAAAATAAAAACCTCATCAACTGCTCAGGAGTCTCCAATATTAGGATGAATCCAGAACAGCTTTCCAGAGATCTCGTAAAGAAGACACCATCAAATGAATGATATGCTTACGAGTGACACAGAAATGTTTCTTATAATGTCAGTAAAAACTAACAATATGGGTATAAGCTTATGTTTAATATAATAAATACAAACACATTTACCCTTTCTACCAGGCTCTACAAATAAGCTGCATAATAGTAATAACAGCACCACTTTAGCACCTACTGTGTGTCAGGCCCTGGGCCAGGGACTTTACAAACATTGTCTATAATCCCTAAAATTAGGCCAATAAGCCTACCCTCTCCAGGTCAGTTTTACTGGCCTAATTTTACAAATGTGAAATTCAAAACTCATAAAGCAGAGGGAAAAAAAACTGTTGATATTTACAACCACTAGTAAGTGATAGTACTAATGTTTGAATCCTGGACTGCAAGGCTGAAAGATTCATATTCCTCTGACTTCACAAAACAATTAAAATTAAGGACTAGTAACACAAATACAACATGTTTCTAGTGTGTCAAAGTTACAGTATAATTTTCTCCCCATATTTACCTGCAAATCTAAAACAAAAAATTAAGAGGCTATGTCTATTGTGATTTTTCAGTTTAAACTAACAGATGCCACAGAATACACTCTTAGCTATGTATTCATCAGAAGACCTAATTATGCAGTTGATGGCACGCATAAAATGGAGAATTAACTTGATTTTAATGCACAGTGTATACATGGATAAAACAAATTGAGATCTAAATTTACTTCTTAAAAGTGTTTACAGTGCATAAAATACTGTTCACTATTACCTTTGCTTTCCTAAATAAAGTTCTTTAAGCAGAAGTGTTAAGTTACTGCTACAGAGCGTCAGCGTGCTAGATTCCTCCACATTTTCTTCTAGTCAAAGAACCTGTTACACAGTACAATCCTCGGGAACACACAAACTCGAAATTCAGTGCTTCTTCCTCCTGGGGTCACAGCTCATTTCTCCAAGAGCTGAAATGATGCAATTCAGAAATCAAACTGTCTTTCTACAGAGTGAAATTAGGCCTCAGTGTTTGTCAGCTGCCTTTTGAGAAACAATTTTTCTGAAGGAAATGTGAAAGGGAAAAGCAACTGTCAGTCTGAACAAAAATGCTAATCAAATCCCTCTCTGGGGCATAAAGATGCAAGTAAGAATTCTGAAAGTTATACATCTAGAGAAAGTGAATTTTACATGGTCAGTGAGAATCCTTATTCTCAAGTTTAACAAACACTTACATTTTTGTCTAACTATTTTTATTTATTATTATTAAGAATTTATTGTTGCTAATAAAAGGAACAAACCTACAGTCGAAATGACTCATAACAGTGTGAAAACGTCCTAAGTTTAGCTGGGGGGTGGCTGCAGAGAAGACTGTTCAGAACGACATCCAAACTGAGAGCTGTGTGCTGACTCCTTTCCTACCAGGAGACAGCACAGAAAGTGGGGCACAGTGAAATAAAAATAAAAGAGTATTTACTGGGTGTCTCCTAAACGGAAAAATCAAGATTCAGTGAGGCTCTATTCTAACTAACTAGAGAGAAACATAACAATGATACTGAAAATGGTTAGTATTCATGCATTTAGAGAATCACCAAGCACAAACCTGCCGGCCAACCCTGTCAGGGGGAGGCCACAGAGCATCATCTTCTTTTGTAATTTCACTGTCGTCGATAATTCTTTTCAGTTCTTCCATTACACTCTTGTGTACATAAGCCTGAAAGTAAGTTACAAAAATTTCAGTGTATCTCTATCTCTCCCCACGAGTCACAAGGAAATAATAAAACAAAGTTACAAACCCTGAGTATTCAAACAGAATATCAAAGAAAAATTTAATTCTGATTCTAAAAGTACAAGATGGGAGAGAGTCATTCATCCTTTTTATAATTTTTCTTCACTGTCTTGTCCCTTCCTTTAACATTTATTTTTCCCTCTTCACATTACTAGCCCCCTTTTAAAACCTTGTATTCCACCTTTGTGCCACGGGATTCAACTATCTCCAAGTGCTAACTCAAAACCTACAAGGTGAACAGAGACAAATACAAACACACAGCACAGTTAGTGCTTTGAACTTTTTCTTATACCTAATTTTTGAGCTGTTCATTTAAAACTCATTCTATGTTTAAATCATGATCAATCAGTGTTAAATAGTGAATAGAGTAAAAAGACAAAGTTAATTATAAAATGAATTAAATGATATGCTCGATTGTGGGATTACAACTTAATATACTTAGATTGCTTCTTTTGTTGTTACAGATGCTTCAGTTAGAGTCCCTTTTCAGTCTATAAATCGGCTTCTTCTTTACAGCCGTAGGTGTACTTTAAACATGTAAATTAGAACACAGACATGAGAAAAATGGGCTTAATGTAAAAAATTAGACATTTGAAAAGAACTTACCTCCTTTCTGATCATGACATCATTTTTGTAATTGCTGTTGTTGGCATATCTAAGTTTTCCTGTAGGGAGTGGAAAAAAATTCAATCTATAACAGCAAAAACTGCTAAAGAAATAAAGAAAGAAATGACATCGTAAGCAATTTTGAAGGTAAAAGCCATTTGATACTACTACTTTACTAATATTTTCTCCCTCCTAGCTTAAGGTCAATGTTGACATGTAGACACACAAACATTTGCTGATAAGTTGGCTAAAGCTGAAGCTAGTCAATTTTTAAATATTCCATGCTTTCAAGAGAATTTCATATAATGGGGAGGGAGCAGTCATTTTCAAGGCCCATTCCCTTAAGCTATGTCATGAATTGACAGGGAATCTGAAAAAAGAACTAACATTTCTTCTAAAGTTTACATTATATGCCTTATTGGTGCTAAGTGATTTATCCAGAGCACTTAATCTAATCTGTAAGACAACCCTAAAATGTAGCTTTTATTCTCTCACCTAGTCATAGTTGAGAAAACAGAGAGTTCAGTCACTTGCCCGGGGTCACACAAGATTCAGATCTAGATCTGCCTTCTTCCAATACTCATGCTTTCCCTGCTACTCTAAAATGTTCTCTTTTAATTATCTTCCTTCAAATTAATGCGTGTACGTATTACAGCAATGCTAGTATTTTTAATTCGTGATTAAGAAGCATACAAACGACGTGCTGCTTCTGGATAAAAACTGGCCAGTTTGTTAGCGGATCTACGTTTAATTTTGAAGTATTCTCATGTGTGCTTCTCCTCATGGCTAGTCAGTTGCCCAGGTACAGATGTCATGTGATCTTGAACCTCTAACATGGCAGGTTACCCTAGTGAGGTGAACCCCTGAGGAATCGCTGTATTTGGGATTCATTATTACTGACAGAAGTCCATGGAATGGTGTGGTGGCAGATGAGAACCATTGTTCTGGAATGAAATTAGACTACTGAATTTATGTGACTGGCCAAAAGTGATACAGATAAGCTGAAAGCTGTTCACAGGCATAGGCACTAAAAATACGATCACATTAAAAAAAGAACTGAGGGAGAATTCAGGCAAATTTGGTTTCTTAGCGAAATTTAGAAAACATTTGGGGAGAACTAGGGAGATCAAGGTGATCAAGGTTTCTGAATAACTGCAGGGCTGTAGTTACCTTGAGCTCTACCTAAAACGTCAGGTAATCTTCCCTTTCCCTAATATTAATGTGATTCTCCTCTAATTTTTCTTTCATGCCTTCACAGAACTTTGTCCAAAGCATGAACACAGCACTTAATACCCTATACCACCGTATGTTTAGTTTCATGTCTATTTTACCCAAGATACAACTCCTTGAGGGGAAATAAACAGTCTTATGCATTCCTGTACCCTCAATTTTTGTATTTACATGGTGTCCAGCACACAGTATGCACTCAAAAAAGAAAAGTCTATGTAGTTGGACTGTCCTTATTACAGTAAGAGTTCAATATACAGTAACACAATCTAAAGAGAATCAGAGCTGACAAGGGACAGAATCTGCACATTTCTTGGGCAGCAGGCAGTTTCACCTGAGCATTCTATGCTCAGGCAGCTCTCGGCAGTCTGACTCCTTTTTTCCCTCAGAAACCAAGAAAAGATCTACTCTCATTTCAAGACTCATCCCAACCGTCACCTCAGAAAAAAAAATTTCCCTTACTGTCTCATATAACCACTCCCCTTTTTCATAGTCTTAATGCATCGTAGAGGGAACAACCGTTTTTAAGTAATCAAAACACATCATTACCAAACATTCATTTTTCTACACGTCGGGCTCCCCCTTTCAGAGCAGGCCTCATTTGTTTTTTCTAGACATGCTGCCTTATATACAGGGAATGAATGAAACGGATGAATGGGTAGCTCGAAAGTCACAGTTCACCGGAAGACTTTAAGCATCCATCTGACCACCGTGTGGTGGGAATGTTCAACACGTTCAAGTACTAGGACGATAAACTAGATGTAGATGGCCTTAAAGGTCCCTGCGGGTGAGCGGACTCTTTACCATAGGTCCAACTTTAGTGTCTGGCAGGATTGGCTCCTCTGAATTAACGTACACGGAATAATTCTCTATTATTCACAAAACCAATGTATATGCCTCCTACACTCCCAAGCGCCTCAGCACCGCTGTACAGTCGCGAGCCCACGGAGGCTCGCCCACCCGCCGCCGCCCCCTCCGCGGCCTCTCGGCCCCGCTTCTCCCCGACTCAGCACCGCGCTAGCTTGCGACGCCCGCGGCCACCCCTCCGCTCACCGTCCGGCCGAAACTCGAACTCCAGAAACTCGTGTCCAAACTTGCCCTTGTGCCCTACGTAGTAGCGCAGGTAGAAATCGCTGGCCATTGCCATCTTTGCCGCCGAAAAGCCCGCGGAGGGCCTTCCCAACGTGCCGCGGGCGCCTAGCAGTGACGTCAGCCGCCCAGGATTAATACGTCACTGCGTGCGCGCCCTTTCCGCCTCTCGGGCGGCGTCTCGCGTGAGCGGCCCGGAGGCGCCGGAGGAGGGCGGCAACGACGTGAAGTTTGCTTTGTTGGGGTAGGAAGCGTGTTATTTCCTAAATTATATTAGGAAAGCACAGAAGTGTGAAAATATGAAAGCATTTGTTATGCGCCTAGAACTAAAGTTTGCACGTCGCTCTGTCTTTTCGGGTCTCTATTGCGCGCGGCATCATGTGAGGTGGGTGTGGCTCCACTGCGCTTTGATTAGGGGAGTAAATAAAGATAAAGCCAGAACCTGAGGGGCAGATCTGGAATGCAGCCCTCCCCCTGCTAAATTCTTAACTCGGGCCCTTCTCCATCGGACAATGATTGCATCTGGAAGCCTATAGTAATAGAGACAGAGTAGGAAGAATTCCATCAGGCTGGAGGTCCGAAATTTTTAAAAGGCACGTTGAAACTGAGCATCTCTGACAGTCATGGTAAAAACGGTTCCTTTGATTCGTAAAACTTGCTTCATTCAGTAAGGGTTACTTTTTTTTTGTATATATATTTTTATTGAACTATAGTCAGTTTACAATGTGTCAATTTCTGGTGTGCAGCACTGTGCTTCAGTCATACATGAACATAGGTATACTCAGGGTTACTCTTAAGTGGCCTCTGGGATTTTGGCAATTTGACTTAAGATCAAATGGTTTGGCCCACGTTTCTTAACCAGACAGAATTAAATTGGGGAAGTGAAGAAATGCTCCTCTGGGATGAGTTTTGAAGGATGGGGAAAGACAAGGGAAACTTTGCTCAAAGCCTGTTTTTCAAATGGTTTTGATCACTTTCCTTTTACCAACACACAGGCTAATCCCGGCTGTTAGATGACCTTTCACCTTCAGTGGGACTTAGTAGAAAGAGGGGCAGCCAGAAGACCTGGTACTCATTTCCATTACTTACTCTGCCTAACCTGGGTGAAGGAGCTATCTCTAAGCGTGCTTATTCATCAACCAAACATACTGCAGTCAGCTTGCCAAGCACACAGAGTTGTTGAGGATCAAATGAGATACTGCATGTAAAATAAGGTTTAAAATTTATAAAACATTATATAATGAGTTATAACAGGTATTTCCTATGTGCCAGAAATGGTTGGGCACTGGTAATAAAAAAAAAAAGTCCTTTGCACTTGTAGTCTAGAAGACAAACATGTAGACACGTATTAGCCCAAGGAAGCAAATGCTATAAGAAAGAATTTTTTTTTTTAATTCTGATAATACAGCAGAGGAAACAGGTCCCTTTATTGGGGAAGGGGAAGTTGAAGAAAGTGACCCGGGGAGGGCTTGGGACAAGGTGCGCTATTTGAATTGGACCTTGTTGAATAAGTTCAGTTTGTGTTCAGAAAGGTGGAAAAGCAAACAGCCTGAGCGAAGGCACAGTGGTATAAAAATGCCTAACTTGAGAAAGCCAAGAAATTCAGTATAGTTAGAACATAAGGTTCATGGAAGTGGAAAAACCAGAAAGGCAAACTGGGCAGGTTGTGTGGAGTCTGGACTAGCAATTGTATACCTGTCAATATAGAAATCTGAATTAACCATTGTATAAATATGAATATAGAAAAATTATTCAGTCCCCACTGTAGGCTGCCATTATGGAAGATACACAAGAAACATAAAGCACCATCCTTTGCCACTAGAGCGACTAACCTTTCCAGTTTGTCCGGGACTGAGGAGTTTCCCAGGATGTGGGACTTTCTGTTTTAAAACCTGTAAAGTCCCAGGCAAACTGGGATGAGTCAGTCACTGAACTTACCACAAAAATAACCCACAGAGCAAGGAGGGTGTAGCTCAGTGGTAGAGTGCATGCTTAGCAGGCAGGAGGCCCTGGATTCAATCCCCAGTACCTTCATTAAAATAAATAAATAAATAAACCTAATTACCCCCCAACACACACACGCACAAATAACAATAACCCACAGAAACTTGACCGCAATATTCCATGGTATCTCTGAAAATACAGACAGTGATCCATTTAGTTTGTTTTTTGATGGGAGCTTCATTCGATCTTTGGATTTCCTAATGCAGTTCCTTCAGATTGTTGGCACGTGTCCCAGTGTTCATCTTCATCCTTCCCTAACTCGAGCTGCAGATACCAGGACTGGGACTGTGTAAGCAAAGCCTATGGATGCATAGTGTTAAGATCTCTATCTGTAGCCAGTTACTGTTTTTATCCTCTAAAAAAACTGAACTCAAGACTAATCCTCTTTAATTCTGTTTTTAAGATGAAATGTGAAAATATAGTTACTTTACTTACTTAATCCTTCCTACATTTAGCAAAAAAAAAAAAAAAAAAGCCAAAATGTCTATCTCTTGCATCACGATAAGGGCTGGAACAGGATAAAGCATTTGTGTATTGTAGTCTTCTCAGATGTTATACACCAGAGCTGTGGAAATGTTCCAAACAGCTGGTGAGCACCTGACATGTGGTTAGTGAGCCTGGAACTGAATTTTTTCTTTTTAATATTATTTAATTTGTGTTAATTAAATTAACATTTAAATAGCCACATGTGTCTAGTGGCTACCGTTGTTGGACAATGACATTTTATAAGAACGATTTCATATACTTTTATGTGGACTGGAAATAGTGAAAATATTTTTGGAACATTGAGAAATCTCAGTCTCAGTGGCTCTCGGCTTCAAATCAGGGCATATTTCCACAGTTGATTTATGAAAATAAATGGGCTGTTTAACTGAAGCCACATAAAAGAACTATTTCTGCCTTTGCTAATGCAATGTATCTGTGGTTAGCTTTAAAAAGCCCTTGTGAAATAATTAAGAAATAAACATTTTATTTTCCAACTCTAGCTGAAATCAAAGCTTAATGATTTAATCAAACACACAATATTCATTGATAAAATAATGATTTCCCACTAGTGTTTTTAAGTTTGTTGCTTTCAGCTTCATGGTGATGAACCAAGTCAGAGGACTATGGTCAGAGATGATTATTTCTTATAAATGTTAATTTACCCTTTTAAAATGTTTTGATTTTTCCTGCATCTAATCTCTTCCTTTGATCTCTTGTCTGCTCTGTCCTCACCCCTCTTTTGCCCCACTATTTAAAATTATCAAACCATTCCTACTTACAATTTTTGGAAATATGTTCTGACTTTCCTGTGATAAACACTAGAGAGGATATTTGTGGGTTTCATTTGTTTTCTTTATTTTATCAGTAGCTTTTGAGTAGTTTTGATTTTGTATTTACAGAACAAAAGCTGTGAGGGCTATTCCATTGCATTAAATTGATCAGAGTCACAAATCAAGAATATTATATGGTCTAAAACAATATTCTAAGGTAATTTAAATGTTTTGAAATGTCAGAATGACTATGGTGCATTTCAGTCTTTATTCTATCCACCCACCTTTCTCTCCTCTCTTTTGTAATAGACCTCTCTACTTTAATCATGTGTCTTTTTAACCATCCGGTGGATAAGCGAACCACCATCATGCAGAAACATGAAACCTTTCACACCATTGTTTCGCAGATATGTTTATATGTGGTGAGCACTTGAAACTATTGCTAGATTATTATGACGTGATGATATATTCAATTCCATTATTCAGACTAATATGTTTTCAGCCTATGACAATATTCTATGCTTCTAACACATAGCATAACCACTAACTCTTATTTCCCAAACAAGTAAAACCAGTCTGCTAAATCAGGCATAATAGGCTGTTCTCCCGGTCTTCCATTGTATATGTATTCATTTGTTTAAATGAGTCATGGTAGAACAAAACTTTAATAACTGTTGTTACAGCAAGGTTAAGATTTAGAGGATTCAGTTCATTCACTTACTTTTTCTTTTAAAATAGTGGGAAAAAACATCATTATTCAATTTTAATAACAAAATACTTAAATCTAGTGTCGTGCATGAACATGATTTGAAAACTACTAGTTCAGACTATTCTAAGTTAAATTACATTGTCAAGTTTCAGTTAGACATGGTATCCAGGTGAGGATTTGCTCAGTTCCTAACTATGTTGGAAATTTTTTTTTAAAGAATAAAGCATAAATTGAAGAAGAAAAAAAAAAGACTGAAGGAGGAGGGAATCCAAAAAATCAAAATCCTAACCAGATTCAAATTGATTAAATGGTAAATAGTTTCATTCTCTTTTCCTATCATTAGGAAATACCTAGTTTGGCCAGTAAGTCAAAAATGCCAGAAATATAAACCCCCTTTTAGAAAAAGCTTGGCCAAGTGAAGAAAAGACCCAGTTTTCTTGGAAGAAACAATTCCTGTGTCCCGTTTTCCAGACCTATATCCAGAAAATACAAACATGATTCAAAATAGCAATTGTCTGCCTCTTTGCCTCCTCCCAAAACAAACATTAACATACAGTGTGAAAGGGCGATGCTGCATCTCGTTAGGAGCAG